CAGAGCGACGCACGTGCCGGGTCATCTGAACGACGGTCCAGACAGTCTGTCCAGGAACCCCATTCCCCCCGGGGAATGGTCCCTGCACACTCTTACAGTCCAAAAGCTGTGGCGAATATTCGGCAGAGCAGAGGTGGACCTCTTCGCCTCAGAAGAGAACACCCACTGCCCAATGTTTTTCTCAAAGAGCGAGGACGCGCTAGCCCAGACCTGGCCCAGCCGCCCGCTTTATGCATTCCCTCCGGTTTCTCTGCTACCACAGGTGCTTCAGAGAATCAGGGAAACACGCCACTCGGTGCTCCTCATAGCCCCGCGTTGGCAGGGTCAGATTTGGTTTCCGGAGCTCACTCAGCTGTCACAGACAGCCCCGTGGCCCATTCCAGTCAGAGCAGATCTCCTCTCCCAAGCTCGCGGCACGATCTGGCATCCCCACCCAGAGCGCTGGGCGCTACATGCGTGGGTGATCAACGACTACCCGTCACTTTGCCAGAGGGAGTGTTAAACACGAATACGCAGGCTAGGGCGGCTTCTACTAGAAGGCTCTATGCGTCTAAATGGTCGGTGTTCTCTAAATGGTGCACCGACAGAAATTTGGACCCACAGTCATGCGAGGTCCCTTCCTTGCTAGTTTTTCTCCAAGAGATGTTGGACAAGGGCAGGTCCCCGTCCACTCTCAAGGTGTATGTGGCAGCTGTCGCAGCGTTCGTTGAACCCTGGCGCGGCCAGTCACTGGGCAAAGAGGGCTTGGTCATCCGCTTCCTCAGGGGAGCTAGAAGGATGAACCCCCCCCTTCGGTGCCGATTTGGGACCTTTCCATAGTTCTCGAAGCTATGAAAGCCCCCCCATTCGAACCGCTAAACACCGTGGACCTCAAATACCTTTCGCTCAAAACCGTTTTTCTGCTCGCGCTCGCGTCAGTAAAACGTGTGGGAGACCTTCACGCGCTGTCCAGTAGTGCTTCCTGTCTCGAGTTTGGGCCCAATGACTCCTTAGTCGTTCTCAAACCTAGACATGGTTATGTCCCAAAAGCGATTGGTACCCCGTTCAGGGCACAAGTTATTTCCCTATCGGCTCTGCCTGCTGCCGATAGCGAATCTGACTCTAATCTCCTGTGTCCAGTCAGGGCCCTGAGATTATACATTACTCGCACTGCTCCGGTCAGACGATCTGAGCAGCTTTTTGTTTCGTTCGGTGGGCGCACCAAAGGGTTGGCCGCCTCGAAACAGACTTTATCCAGATGGATAGTTGATGCCATTGCAGCCGCATACGCATCAAAAGACCTGCCATGCCCTCTGGGCATCAGGGCTCATTCCATTAGAGGCATGGCCTCATCGTGGGCATGGTCCAGCGGAATTTCCATTCATGACATTTGTGTGGCAGCGGGATGGACTTCCCCCTCCACCTTTGTCAGATTTTACAATCTGGAAGTTCCCGCCTTGCAGGCTAAACTACTAGCAGTCTAGTAGGTTACAGCTCTTCGGGTTGAGCTGCACTATAGGGAATTATTCACTCAGACCGGTTTCGCTCTGTCCCTCTCTATCATGTGCTTATGTACTACACAATCTCCGGCCCGTTCTGCTGGCCTTTGTCACATGTACATATATTTTTATTCCCACTCATAAGGGTTCCCCGGGGTCTCCCCTGGGACTCATAGTGGATGCTTAGCACGCACGGCGTTGACCAGGTGTTCCCGTAGCGTAAGCTAGCTTACGCAATACGAGAGAACCTCTCGTAAGAGAACGAATCGGTTACCTAACGTAACTTCGGTTCTCTCTAGATGAGGGAACGAGTATTGCGTTCCTAGCCGTGCTTGTGCTACTAGCGCTCTCGCTTCATTCTATGAAAACCAGTGTTTACAGCCTGAGAGGCGAATTTATACTCTGACCACGCCCGTTTCGGCGGGCTCTGACGCAATGAGAGCATGTCAGACTCTCATTGGCCGAGAGTTCATTCGCGTCTCCTCATAGGCTTAAGCAGTTCTCTTTGAGCGAACCAATGAGCTGCTAGCTAGCCCGCTCATGGTCTGCTGCAGCTGAACTGCGTTGACAATGGATACAAAATTATAGGATAATTTTTTGGCTTCAATTTCTCAGAAAAGATGAATCTTTCCCGTAGCGTAAGCTAGCTTACGCAATACTCGTTCCCTCATCTAGAGAGAACCGAGGTTACGTTAGGTAACCGATTCGTTTTCTGTTACAGTGCCACCTACCGAACTGGATCACCAAAAACGCTCATTTAACCCCTTTCGTGGCAAAGATCACAGACGGCCCCAGATTATTGTTCAACATTCATTATTCGTTAAAACATCACACTCTTACTTATTTGATCTAGACAAACTGAGCATCATTAGAAAGATTTAAAACTCCAGCTTCGATAGTTGACCACTGTTTATGATAAAACTGGTTTGCAGTGACATTCATTTCTTAATTTATGACAGGAGTGCAAAATTATTCATCTGTAACGTTCGTTATTTTGAATAGAAATCATCACTCATAAAGCAGTCATTCATGTCTTCTCTGGTTTATTTGTGTTCACATACAGCATCCGCCAGCTCTTAGTCCAATGGTGGACATATTTGGAGAAATAATGATTTTCATGTTCCACTAAATTATGCGATCTGAAGCTCAAACAGCGAACACACAAGGGGGTAATCCATCGACCGGAAGTTGAAGCCGGCCGGGTGCCGCCATGTTTGTAGCAGAACTTCACTTGCGTTAGCATTTCCATTGACTCCCATTCATTTTGGCGTCACTTTGACAGCGAATAACTTTACATCTGAGGCGTTTAAAGACTCCATTTGTCCATTATTTATTTCTAAAGAAACACGACAATGTATAAAGGGCTCCATTACCTTCTATGTTACAGTATGGCCCCGTATAAACAGATTTAGTAAAAATAGGCTAACGATTGCGTCATAACCACTCGACTCTCTGTCGCGCTGTACAGAAATTACCGTACAGACAGGAGGAGAAGCTCGCAGGCAATCGGGGGGACGTCCCGTCAAGGGAGAAGCCCATAGATAATGAGTCCATAAAAGCAACGGAATACTTACTCCTGCTCACTCACGCCAAAGAACTCTTTGCTCAAGTTCCCTGTCTCTGCAAGATTAACGTTGGCAATTTTCACGCACCGCTACTAGAAGATTAACGTCTGTCAGACAGGTTGCTCACGTCATCAAGCTTAGTTTGAGTCGGTTTGAGTCTGCGCGTCAGGAACGGAAGTGTTCAAAAATCGCTAAAAATGGGCTTCAACTGTCTCAACTGAGTTCCAATGAGATGGCTCTGTCCACTTCTTATACTGTCTATGCGAACACAGCGAGATCTGTCTATGGATCTATCTCTCCTCTTCCTGATTTGCGTCAGTTCTCTGCGCTCTCTTATTCGCTATAGAGCTGTCAATCATCTCACGTGGTTTAACGTGACAATAATCCTGCCCTTCTGCATGACGCGCTGCTGTGTACACTTCCTCATTCTGACCTCCGTGATAACAAAGCTAAAACACATCTCTTCACCTGAAACAAGAAGCTAATAAATGCACGATTTCGAGTATATGTGGTTTGTGTGTGATTTTCGATATTTTAAAGAAGTATGATGTAATGATTTAGAATGTATGTTAAACTGACATCTTAAAGATGTCTATCAGATGTTAGTAAACAGCAGATGCTTTCCAGATGAAGTGATCTTTAACAGACATCTTGCATATATAACATATTTCAACATCTTTTTTTTTACTTAAAACCATTTTAAACCGCGACCGGAATATGATACAAATACTCTATGGTGGTTTAAAGTGAGCTTTAAGTAAAAGTGTAATATTAATATTTTAAATTGTGTCATGTAGCTTGATGCTACTTGCTCTAATCCACCTGCTGCAGGAGCTTTTCTATTCCATAATCTTCTTTGTTAATATATATATATATATATATATACTTCTAACAAGACTTAAGATAATAGCTGGATCTTGATACTATGTACAAACTAAACCACCTGGATCCTATAACTGCGGTCCTGAAACCGCAGCCGCAGCTATATCATCCAGTTCGGTAGGTGGCGCTGTCACAAAAAAACTAGGGTCCTGAAACTGCGGTCCTAAAACTGGGGTCCTGAAACTGCAGCCTCCGGTTGTGCAGGAACATACTACTGGTCATTCTTGCACAACTCTACTAGCGACACCGGTGGCCGTTAATGAACTGCAAGAGACTGAACGTGATTCAAGGCCCTGATATACTCTCTGCGAATTTCTGTTCCGTTCTTTGTTTAGAAGTAAAAAGAAGTTGGAAATACCTTTGCAGCAACATACAGTCAAAGAACATCCTGACTCCGTCCGCACTGCTGAGAGCGATGTAATTTATTTAGCGCTTTTTACAATACAGATTGTTGAAGCAGATGTACAGTGAGAAATTAATGCAGCAAAGGTTGTTTTGGCTGTATAGAAGCTCTAGAAGAAAGTCATTGTCCAGTTTTAGTTTGTTGATTCATTTCCATTGAAAATAAAAACTTTATTAATTTAGTTAATTTGTCTTAGCAGCATAGAGAAAACAGTTCTCATACAGTGCAGAGCTCTTACGGCATTATCCTGACCTGAACATTGTATTAATTTAGTATGTCATTGAAAGGAAGAGAGAGGTTCTAAACGTCACATCCTTTTGATTTTCCTGGCAAAAACATCCCGAATTCTTTACATAAAAATCAGTCTACAGGCTTTCATACAACAGGGAAGGTCTTGTTTTTTAAGTTTTGTTACAAGCTGTTTACACATTGGCAATAAAAAATCGATTAATACATGAAAATTATATACATATAGCCCCTTTTATAATTCATATTAAAAATTCATATTATTTTGAAAATACTTTTTACTTTTTTATTTGAAGAAATATTTAAGGAAAGTGTTTTTATATGTGATTTTTTTTACTTGTGTAAAGTTTTCTTTCAGTCTTTCTGTTGCATATAATTGTTCAATGATGCTTATGTGTGCATGCCTTCTTCTCTCTTGGCTTGTAGGTTGTGTGTCAGGCCTGTTCGACTAATGAACAGCCACTGAAATATATGAAGAACCGCCTTGCGCGAGTTTGCGATCTCTGCTTTTCTGCATTGCAGCAGAGCAATTCAGGTTCATGATGCAAACACACTCATACAGAAACATTGTCTGCTTTAATGTATTTTTATGTATTTGTATTGATTTCTATAAAATAAGAGTTTGTGTGACATTTTACTCATATTAGGTGACGAAGCACCCAGTAATGTGCCTCTTTCGCCTGCTAAGTCCCCTGGTTCCTTTCCATTCAGAAAGCAGAAGAAAATACCAGCAGCCCTAAAAGAGGTGATGATCCAAAGAACTGCAACTGTCTTTTAGATGCCAATCAAAACTTACTTAATCTGACCTAATATAATAAAGACCGTTTCCAGTTCACAGTGTATTGAGCCATTGACAATTATCTTGTACCGCCTTTAGCATAGTTTATCAAATTATCTTAAAGACATGTAATATGTGATGTGTGATATTTAAATCTATAATTTTGTGAAAATAATGCTATAGTATTTGCTTGTGGGATTTAATTCAAATGTGATATGTTTACAAGCATTTTTGGCAGGTGAAAATATGCTCTCTGGCCTAAAAAAAATAAAAAAAAATAATGAAATCTGAAAACCCTGTTGAAACGAAGGGTGTTTTCACCTTGTCAATTGTCAATGTATTGAGCCATTGACAATTATCTTGTACCGCCTTTAGCATAGTTTATCAAATTATCTTAAAGACATGTAATATGTGATGTGTGGTATTTAAATCTATAATTTTGTGAAAATAATGCTATAGTATTTGCTTGTGGGATTTAATTCAAATGTGATATGTTTACAAGCATTTTTGGCAGGTGAAAATATGCTCTCTGGACTAAAACAAATAAAAAAATAATGAAATCTGAAAACCCTGTTGAAACGAAGGGTGTTTTCTCCAAGGTAGGCAGAAAAAAAAATCTTAAAAAATTGGGCTGAGAAAATAAGACAAAGTAATAAATGAACAAACTTTGGCAAATCCAGAGATTAGTTTTTAAACACTATTTTGTTTTCGGTCTGACTGATTAAACACACCTGTGCAAACTGTAAAACTGACTGCTATAAATCTGACTAGTATGAGTTACATTTATGAGTTAATTTCATACACTACCGTTCAAACGTTTGGAATGTTTTTTTTTTAAAGATGAGAAATGGATACTTTTATTCAGCAAGGATGCATTAAATTAATCAAAAGTGACAATAAATAAATTTATAATGTTACAAACGATATTTAAATTAATGCTTTTGAATCATAAAAAAATGAAGGTTTCCACAAACATTAAGCAGCACAACTGTTTGATAACAATAATGTTTTTATTATTAAAAAAATACTTTTTTCAAAAAGAGTTCTTCTATTTTAAAAAATACTTCTTTCAAAAACATTTAAAAATCTTATCAATCCCAAACTTCTGAACAGTAGTGTCAGTAAATTGAATCCATTCATTAATTTCAGGTTTCAGCGAACACAGATGGGTCCACGATGAGCGGCTACTTGGACCTCTCCAACAGGAAAGCCAACAGGAAACCGTGGAAACGGTTCTGGTTTGTCATCCTGAACAAAGTTCTGTACACATATGCTGCGAGTGAGGTAAGATTATATCATTTCAGACATTTGAATATAATGAAAATCTCAGCATAACTGAGTACACCCCCTCTTGAGCATAAAAATATATTGGTAACACTTTACATTGTTACCAAGGACTAAGAATTAAAAATATACTTCTAAAGCATTTATTAATCTTAGTTAATGTTAATTTCAACATTTACTAATACATTAATAAAATCAAAAGTTTAATTTGTTAACATTAGTTAATGCACTGTGAACTAACATGAACAAACAACGAACAGTCGTATTTTTATTAACTATTGTTATATGTTAAGAAAGATGTAGAAATACTGTAGCAAATGTATTGCTCATTGTTATTAATGTTAGTTTATGCATTAACTGATTTTAACAAATAGAACCGGATTGTAGTGTTACCAATATTTTTATTAATAAATTTATTAATGATCACTATTACAATTCATTTAAAGATAAAAATTGTATTAAACGTACTAGGATATACTTGATAAAAATAGAGAAAAATGTCATCAATATCTGTAAAATAAGTAAATTGGCCAAATTTGCTTAAATTAATGGTTGCAAAAATGAGTACATTGATTAAATCCAAGAAACAACGAAACAATGCTCAAGCAATATTCTACATCCTCCAAAAATGTAAGTATACTGCTCTGCCCCTTCTTGCCATTGAGTGTGCAAATTCACGAGAAGTGTTCACATCTAATGTTTAACTCCTGGAGTATGACTGTTCAACTACACAATCCCCCACAGGTGCCCCATAAAGTCCCGTGACATACTGAAGGATTTTCACCTCGAGAGAATGTATAGAGTCATTGGCATGTTGAAAAAGTGTCCAACAATGCAGGGAATAATGAGAAGACTGATGAAGCATTAAGCACAACTGCCCCACTCATACATCCTTCACTCCCGAACCAGGCTCTTCTCACTGTACTCCTCCCCCTTGCTATGCCATTTATTTTGGATGCTGTTAGATCCAAAATGATGTATTTGGCTTCATGAGACCAGAATGTGGATTACCAGAAGTCTATATTTTGTTAATTTGGGCTTTGGAATAGACTAAATGAGCTTCTTGTGCTTTGGATACAGTAGGTTATGGAAGCCACTTTATATTTTGTGAATCCCAACAATCTTTTGCTACACATCAGAAATATATTTTTTGGTTTTCCCCACTGTGATGGGTGATTTAGGGAGTTTGTGTTCCCCAGGTTTATGCTTCTGTGAAACAGGAAGTCATCGTTGGATAATTTCATGCTCCTAGTCAGTGTGCTAAAAATTGTAAATATTATAAATGGGAATATATTTAGATTTAGATATTTAACCCCCCCAATTTGATAATGTGATTTCCCCCCCACTTTCATTTGTTTTACTTCAATGAAAGGTTATATTTTTGTGATTTAAAAAAATATTTTCACATCATTCTTTGATCATATACCAAGGGCCAATAATTCTGACCATGACTCTGTGTATATTTGGAGATCTCCATTCATGAAATAAATTAGACATTTTGCTGCAAATCCCAACAAGTTAAAAAATTGTTGACGAGTCACCCTGAAAACTTGAGATAAAGGATTAGGTGTGAGATAATACTATTTTGATGAAAGACTAGGCTACTAAGACAAGCGTTCAGGGTTCCCGCGGATCCTTAAAAAGTCTTAAAAAGTCTTAAATTAGATTTTTAAAATGTAAGGCCATAAAAAGTCTTATAAAGTCTTATTTTTACTTATGAAAGGTCTTAAATTTTAGATGACACTTTGACTTAGACATATCTAAAAGCTTTCCAAATTAAAACCATCTAATTAGCGTACGTATTTTTATTTATTTATTATTCTATCTTTGTGGATTTGCTAGTTCACGTGACATTTCGCGTCACTCGCGAGTCGCGGCAGCATAACTGTCTCCTGCACGCGAGAGGAGAGAAGGAGAAGAAAGGTCGTAAATGTCAGTTCAGTTGTAAGTTCATTCTTTATGTGCGTATGGTGTGCGATGTGTATTGTATTTTATGATATTGTAATCATTGTTTTAACAATGTACGAGGCACTGCGAGCTGACATCGCATGTGTCGCTCGTGCTTTCACTGCGTGATGTGTGCAGTGTAACGGTTATGTCCCCAAGTTAGTTTTTGTCTTATATTTATATCATATTATGTTCTTATATTAGAATATCACATCAGAAAGAGTGCCGTTTTCCCGTGCACAATTCCAATTTTGATATTTATGTTATACAACAGTTAAATTAACAATAAGTTAACATTGAGTTACTTTTTAGACACAATATTGTCAATATTGTTTGTTTTCCCTTTATTTCGCCGACTATAATTTCAAAATGAAACCGTAGCAGAGTCTCAATGCAACCGACAGCGATTATTTCTTGACTGAAATCCGCGTTTTGAACGAATCACTTGCTTCTTTCCCGAATGAATCAGCCGTTTGAACGAATCGGTTGAATGAATGACTCCCTCAACTCACTTATTAAGACAGTGATTTGCCGCTGCGGTTTCATATTTAAAGTACCCTTTAAATAAAATGTTAAAATTAGAAATCATTTCATATTTAAATATTGAATATTGATTTAAAAATATATATCTCATAGCTTTATTTATGCAGTTGTAAATGGAGTGTAAATAAATTAATGCCACTTCTGATGCCGCTTCTGTCACCTCTGCACTGCAAAGATGGATTTTGATTGAATGATTTAATTTGACTGTAACATGAAAATGCCCCTGAAAAAATCAATTTAAGGTGGCAAATATTGCCCCTTAATTAAAATATTAATTTCTGTCACTGCTGTGAACTGACCACTGCATAGAATATGAAAAATATGAATATCTTCGTGAGTCAGCTGTCAACAACAGACCCCAACAGACCTAGACCTAAACAGACCAAACCTATAACACAATCAGTAAAATATCATCTAATTATTATCAACAAAACGTTGAAAATATCAAGATATATTTTTGTCAATACTGCACAGCCCTAATGTACGGTATTAATTTTGATTTCTTCAAGTCTTAAAAAGGTCTTAAAAAGCCTTAAATTTGACTTTCAAAAGTGTGCAGGAACCCTGGCGTTTGGAATTTGGCATGGCATGCACAGGTGAATTGAGCACAATAATACCAAGAAGGTGTATTAAGAAAATAAATCTGAAAAATCAGAGTCTGAGACGGACTGAAATGATCAGGGAGGTAAAGGCTTCTCCTATTTCTAGTGCTTCTGCTGTTTTGAAAGGATAGTATCTATCCACTGTCAAGTGACTTGGTGGGTCAAGTTTCTGAGCACAAAAATAGTAATTGATGTGTAAATCTGGCCAATCATGTGTTAATGTGAGGTTTCTGTCATCAAACTTCCAGCAAATGTGTGAGCAGTTTTTCAGCTTATAGTTTCAATTAACTTTTTTCTCATCAAAAGATTAAGGAAAATTACGTTTTTCCTTATTTTTTTTTTCACAGCACGTCCACCAATATAAACTGCATTTTTTGTTTACTCTTTTATATATTGTGAAGTGAATTTCCGCTTTATGACCACACTTTATTGTATTTAATCAACTAATGAATCCACTGTTACCAGTTCATTGCACTTTATTTATTTTTAATTTTATTTATTTGACAGGGACATTGCAATACACAAATGTGTTACACAAGACAGAGATAGCTTTAAGCTAATTCACTTGATAAAAGTATTTTATACACTATATTATAAATATTTTCAGTTCAATTTTTTTATTTATATATTATTTTAATTGTTGTATCCATGCAGGATGTAGCAGCTTTGGAAAGTCAACCCCTTCTCGGATTCTCTCTCCGAACAGAGAAACCAGAATCTTCATTGTGTTTTAAACTTTATCACAAAAACAAGCTCTACTACATTTTCAGAGCAAGTGACAGCCAGATCTTTAAAAGGTAAATATATTGATATAAAATATTTAAAATATGAAGGTACTACACATGTAGTAATAATTACATAATAATATAACATTTAAATATAATAATCATCTTACAGTATATACATTTTGTCTCTCTCATAGATGGATTGAAGCTATCCAGGAAGCCACGGTTCTATAACCTTCTCTTCCTTAACAACCTTGACAACTATCAGACCAGACCTTTATACAAAAGACAATATTAAAGTTATCTCATGACTAACTTGTTTAAATTTGTGGCTCACCACTTTTGTATGTCCAATTGTTACAAAGAAAATTGTGAAGTGAGTGTTTTTAGTTATTAAATTCATAATATATCTGATCATGCTTTTGCATAATATAGTAAAAATTATTTTATTAAGCAGTTATATGTATCCTTTATGGCAAAGCCATTGTACAACCAGGTGCACTCAATAAATGTATTTTTATAGTATTTCAGTATTTTGTCATTTTAGAATGTTATTTTAGAATATTCTTTATAGCCTAGGCTACTTTAGAATATTTTATATTGTATTTCAATTAGTCTAATATAATTATACATTTATTCTATTCAACTATTTATTATCACTCATCAGGCTCAGGTGAACGTATTTATAGTATTACAAGTAGGGCTGTCAAATGATTAATCGTGATTAATCACATCCAAAATAAAAGTTTTTTTTTACATAATATATGTGGGTGCACTGTGTATAATTATTTTATATATATAAATACACACACATGCTTGTATATATTTAAGAAATATTTTCATCTATATACTGTATATAGATTTATATATAATTTATATTATATATAAATATAAATATTTTATATATAAATAATATTTTTTTCTTAAATATACATGCATGTGTGTGTATTTATATATATACAAAATAATTATACACAGTGCGCCCACATATATTATGTAAAAAAAACTTTTATTTTGGATGTGATTAATCACGATTAATCATTTGACAGCCCTAATTACAAGCCTTCACTCCGAGATAATAACCTGAGGTAATACTATGGTAATGCCTCCAGAAGGACAGGTAGGGGGGTGAGACTGATCTGAACTGGGTCAGGGGTCACACTGCCTACGTCACAAGCTCCTAAGATGGCGTTTTGATGACGACGGGAGAAGTAAGGACCCCTGCCCTTGTTTAAAAGGTATTTGAAAATAAATATATATCTGCTTTCGTATATATATGATGTAAACGAACGCATTGTGTTGAACTTAAGAACTAATATTGATTATTAAAACACAAGCAGCATTAAATGCATAGCGCGATCCGCTTACCTAGCCCACAGCAGCCTTGCAAGGTATCATTTCCTGTTGTGTTTTTTTTTTTTTTTTTTTTTTTTTACTTTAAACGAGCTTAAAAATTATTCAGTGTTTGTCTCTTTGTTAACATCTATACTATCATCCATACTATTCAGGCGTGGCAGAGATTATAAAATAATTAAATTGTCATATACGCACGTAAGCACGTCTGTAAAGGATTGGTATCCGCAGTTCCGCATTTATTAAGAAACAGATACGTGCATTTTTTTACCTAGGACCCACCGTGTGCTTTAGCGAGCTCGGGCGTGTTATTCACGGACATGCTGTTTTCGACGAGTATATGTTGATGTTTTTTTAAATAAAATTTTGAAATGAAACCAAAACTCGATTTAAAACACGTAAGTTAGTTTCGCAATTTTATTCAAAGACCAGCCCCAATTAATTAGCACATGCGCGTTTGGACTCGTTATCTGTAACCCGTAGTGTTTAACGTTAAGATGTTAGATTCGTGTTTGTGGATCAATACAACACCATACATGGCTCAAAAACGGGCAATGACTCTAATATACTTTAATTATGACCATGATGACTAATATGCCAATGTCCCTTTGAAAATGAACAAAGCTTCTGCTAAAATGCTGTAGTTTGTGCAGTGTTTACTGTAAAATCATAATAAATAATTGTATTTCTTCAAATAGTGTAAGCTTTATACATTTCTTTTTTGTTTTTAGCTTGAGTGACTGTTATGGCAAAAAATGTGTACCATGGGTGTTTTTGGTAAGAGACATATACAGTATATATTTTTCTTTTCTCTATCTTAATGCCTTCAAAACACTTCATGACCACAACTGAGTGACAACTGTACACATCACATTTGTTTTTTGTTTTTCAGTAGATAAATTGTTGGCAAACTCCCATGAAGCATTGTAATCGATCATAGTTGGTCACACTACTACACTCTCAAACTATTTATTTGGTGTATGTGAATATTTTGCAGTCAACCTTCTTTAAATTAGTTATACTTAACATCAATAATTTTCAATTGAACCATTATTTTTGGTTAATTTATGTCATCCCCAGTGATTCATGGGAGTAATTTGTGTCATGAAAGAACTTAAAATTAGCGTGAAATGGACTTTTTTTCTAAATGTATCTTAATGATTTTATCGTGAATACTTTTATTTTTTTGATATGTCGCTACTTCCATTTAGGGTTGGCTCGATACCACAATTTTGGCTTCAGTGCGATAGCATTTACATTAAACCATTTAGCAGACGATTTTATCCCAAGCGACTTATTAGCAGGATTTATACATAAACAATTTATACATAGATTCGTACAACCTAGAAGCTTTGCGAGGTTCCACTACGTGAAATAACACGGCAGTACAGAGAAGGAAATGATTAGTTGAATAAAGTCGTTATTTTTGTTTGTTTTTTGCGCACAAAAAGTATTCTCGTCGCTTGAGAAACTTAAGATTGAGCCACTGTAGTCACTCGGACTATTTTAACGATGTCTTTCATAACTTTTGGGCCGGTCAGTTTCGATCCCTTAAGAAGCCTATGGAGGAGTGATCCAGCTCTCAGATTTAATAAAAAATATCTTAATTTGTGTTCCGAAGATGAACGAAAGTCTTACGGGGTTGGAACAACATGAGGGTGAGTAATTACTGACAGAATTTTCATTTTTGGGTGAACTAACCCTTTAAGTCGATATTCGCCGGACATTTGTTTTCCCTTGCCACTGTTCTATGGAGTCGACAGTCTTACAAACATATCAATAGCACGATAAGTTTGAACAATATGCAACCATTGTATATCGACATGAAATATTCATTCAAAGTGACCAACGTACGTTATAGCTGCATATTTATACATGACAATGCTTTGACGCCATAACGCACGTCTGCCAATTAAACTGCTTTAAAACATATCATTTGTATTAATTAATTACTTTTAACTTTTAAAAACAGACATTTTCAAATTCCAAAGCTTATAGTAGGTTCCTATTGGTAAGACTTTTTAGATTTTTTTTTTTACAATACTTCCCTCCCTTAATGTATGTACAGTACATGATTATTTTCTGCAAAATTACTGTAATTCACCAAAAGGTTTTTTGTTCAACCATGTTCTGGTTGTAGTACAATCCTAGTGCCCAGACAGACTTACTACAGGTGAAATTGTGCCAATACAATGGTCATTAGGAACGTACTACAACCTTTGGAACATGGAAAAAAATACTTTTGGTGAGTTACAGTAATTAAAAAAAAATTATTTTGTACTGTAAAAGCGAGATATCGGCTGAAGTTCATATGTAGTATGTCAGTCTGCCCAGCAGGCATTTACTATAACCTTGTAAATATCGTTCATTTGAATGAATGATCGGACGTTTATATTTTTGGACTGTGAGTGGAATTGCAGACTGTGCCTTTAGAATATGCAGTGAATATCAAACCTAAAACTTACTTTACTGCGCTCCCGGTTGCTTCCCCTACAAATGCAAAGTTAAACGCAACTGCAAAATTTCATGTTAAGCGGGCTCTATGGGGTAAAAATGCCCTTAATTTGAAACTTGGTGCATCGTATACAAACTATTATTCTATAGGCTCTTGTTTTTAGGCCTATATAGTTTTACTCCCATAGAGCCTATTAAAGGAGAACTCCGGCGCAAAATGAACCTTTGGTCTAATTACACATTGTTACCTAGTCAACCGTTATCTGAGATTTGTTTTCATGATTATCGAATGTAAATAGTTTTATCTCTAAAAACAGTTTAGCCTATAAAGCTAGTATAACGTTAGTATATTGGGCATAGTGTAATGACAAATAAAAATCGCTTGTTAATACCACTAACAAGGCTGAAAATAGCCCCACACTAACACGGTAGCATAATGAGGGTCCCTACCTTCAAACCGAAGCATTGAGAACGTTGTCAGTGTCCAGACAGTTTAATAAGAAGATATTTTAAACATACAGTCAACTTCGCGTATACAGGCAGAAGCCATCTTTGAAATACCGTCTTTACCAGTCGATCTACGAACGCCGATTCAAGTGCGCTGGTGAGATGTGAACGAGCTATGAGTTGTGATAAGGTGAGCGTGAACAGCAGGCTTGGATCGGCGTTCGTAGATCGACTGGTAAAGACTGTATTTCAAAGATGGCTTCTGCCTGTATACACGAAGTTGACTGTATGTTTAAAATATCTTCTTATTAAACTGTCTGGACACTAACAAAGTTCTCAATGCTTCGGTTTGAAGGTAGGGACCCTCATTATGCTACCGTGCTAGTGTGGGGCTATTTTGAGCCTTGTTAGTGGTATTAACAAGCGATTTTTATTTGTCATTACACTATGCCCAATATACTAGCGTTATACTAGCTTTATAGGCTAAACTGTTTGTAGAGATAAAACTATTTACATTCGATGATCATGAAAACAAATCTCAGATAACGGTTGACTAGGTAACAATGTGTAATTAGACCAAAGGTTCATTTTGCGCCGGAGTTCTCCTTTAAAAAGAAAACTCTTAAGGTGGCTTAATGCAGTAAGATGGGGATGTACTAAAACTCACTAGCCTGTACACCTTATTGGACATGCAACTATAATGCATTTTTATAATGGTTTTCTACGGGAGAGAAATGCCTAACCTCATGTGTTGTTCATAATCTGATTTAATCTGCTTGCCTGTACAAAGTATGCTTTATTAATAAGGTAGGCCTATAGTTTTGCCTAGTTTGGTCTTTTAATGTTAGCCTTTGTCTTAATTCATTACATTAAGCGTTTTCTTTATAACGAGGAAACATTCGATGTGAAACTTTGCGTGTTTTGAGTTCATATTTTTCTGCTAGTCTGTACAAGGTAAGCTAAGTTTTATTAATAAGTTTGATGCTTCAATATCACTTTCTTAAGCCACATTAAGCGTCTTAAATGGGGAAGAACTCTTGATGCGGTGCCGTTGTCTGTTTTAGCAGGCTACTGCCATCTAGTGGTAGCAGCTTTTCTCAGACAGTGTGTGTGGATTGTGAAAGGCTAAACCGGCGGAATAAAGGTCTCAAAATACAAATGAATCAAATAGGATCGACTCAGAAACGAGTCAATGAATGCACGCGTCACCTGAACCACAAATGCACATCTTTCTAGTTGCATGCACTAATTCTGATTCATTTAATTCTGAATTTTGCACACGCAAGTTGAAAGGCATTTGGTTGTGGATATTAAAACATATTTGCAACATTTATCAAGTTCATGGATAATTGTGCATGCATGCAATAGCTAATAATCTGACTCGAGTTACAGAACAGGCAACAACATTAGCTGATTGTTTTTGTGTCGAGACGTGACAACTTATCAGAGCTTCCCGAGCTTCAGAGACCAATGTTAAAGTCCCGCCCACACCTGCACAGTGTTTTGTGATTGGCTGGGTCTACACACCCACTGGCCAAAGATTGTCGTCCAGAAACGTCCTGAGCACAGGAATTCAAGAAGAAATGAAGAAATTACAGGCACAGGACAATTTCTCTGTTGACACACACACCATCACACACTTCTAGTGGACCACAAGTAATGATTGAAAGGCATTATTTTTATACTTTATTTTTTTCCGAAAATCCTTCATAGAGCACCTTTAAGGCAAAGCGTATGTTATTGATTATCCGTGAGGGTCTGTGGCACACCAAAATAACATTTCGTCATCTTTTCTTACAGTGACACCAATGCAAAACATCAAGGGTAGGCGATGGAGCTCCCCAACTACGCCAGTCAACTGCTTCTCCAGCTCAATCAACAACGCTCAAAGGGCTTCCTGTGCGATGTCATCATCATGGTTGAGAATACACTCTTCCGAGCCCACAAAAGTGTCCTCGCCGCCACCAGCCACTACTTCAAGTCCCTTGTCCTTCATGATAACCTCATCCACCTTGACCCTGATATGGTGGATCCAGCTGTTTTCCAGCAAATTCTGGATTTCATTTACACTGGCAAATTGTCAAATGAGATTTTTGAGGCTCTGGACTTGAGCTCTCTGCTCACCACAGCTAACTTCCTCCAGCTCAATGACCTCGCAAACCTGTGCTCCACTAAGATGAACCAAAATGGATCCCTCAATAGCGTAGCATGTGGGAGCTCCAAATCTTTATTTCGCCTGTATGAAGACCACTCATCAGACACTGAAACATACACGTGTATGACTCCTCCCAAAAAAAGGCATAATGCTGAAAGTAAATGTAGGAAAAAGCAGGACTTGGGGTTGGATTTGACTAAGAAGAATGTAAAGTCTGAGACGAATGATACGTTTTTTCTTTCTAGAACCATCTCCAACAATATGCAGCTAGGAATAAACGGGAAGTGTGTTCCAAAGAAAGAAAAGTGGATAATTCCTTTGGATGGAGCTCAGGAAAGAAAAAGGGAGGGATCCCGAAGAAAATCCAAGGTCAGTGGTTACATTCCTCTTAGCAGGGTTGGAAGTCAACTAAGCCAGAATCAGACTTTCACTTTACAGTTGTCTGTAAAGAAAGAGAAAGGAATTGGAGGGAAAACTGACGAAACTGATGGCCAAAAACCAAACAATAGCAGCACCAATTTTGTATATCAAAAGGAAACCTTTCTCAAAGAAGCTGAAGGGGACAACCCTTACGTTTGTATTCCATGTGAAAAGGGTTTTCCCTCCTCCGAGAGTCTCAAGTCCCATGTGGAAAGTCATTTGGATGGAGACCTGGATGTGAAAGTTGAGGATGAGGAGGAAGAGGAACGTGATGGAGACGCTGGAGTCACCAGAGTCTCGCAAGAAGCTGCTGAAAGCCTGGAGCAAAGTCCCCGAAAGTCCCTCAAAGATGTTGACACCTTGCGTCCATTCCCTTGCAACATTTGCGGCAAGATGTTCACACAGCGCGGCACTATGACCCGCCACATGCGCAGCCACCTCGGCCTAAAGCCGTTTGCGTGTGAGGAGTGTGGTATGCGCTTCACCAGGCAGTACCGTCTCACTGAGCACATGCGTGTCCATTCAGGGGAGAAACCGTATGAGTGCCAGGTCTGTGGTGGCAAGTTTACGCAACAAAGAAACCTCATTAGTCACATGCGGATGCATACCTCAGCATCTTAGAACAGGTCAAAGAGCCCTAAACTTGGATAATGCAGATACCAACAGTTCTCCATAGTGCTTTGGTTTAGGTTCTTTAATCTAGGGTTCAGTTCTCCCACAAGTTGTGCAGAACACTACAAAGATTCATCTAGATCTTCTTTACAGTTTTAGCTTCATCCACAAATCTTCTAGAATTCTAAAAAAAAGTCTTCTGTTTCAAAAAGGAAACCTCTGTAGTCTAATCTAGAATACGATTTTGGCAAAGTTTACTTTTTTATCTAATTTAGGGTTCAGTTTCAGCCACAAATTAAATTCTTAAATTCTACAAAGATTGTTCTAGCTAAAAAATGGTACCTCTGAAGATCTAGAGTAGGGCTATGTTCACACGGTCAGTCCAAATCCGATTATTTGTGTATCCGATTGGAATCTGATCTACATTATTGACTGTCCACACTGTGGATCGTAACTGTTCGTACCTGATTTGTGTGTCCCGTGGTGCTCTTTCGTTTTCCGGAATATCTCCATTGGTTTCTATGGCAATAAGGTTGCGTTAGTAGGCATACGCCAAAAACAACAGCAACGTGGGGGGTTTTGCAATACAGATGTTGTCTTATTTACAACTTGACAATGTGTAGCCACCGTGCTGGACTACTACATCTGAGGCAGCGGCAGAAACATAGGAGGCTGTTATGAGCGGCTTTATTTGTGCTGCCGTCTCCGCCAGTCTTAGAATTCGACATGTCTCCATTATATTGTAATTTTATGCTTGGCCGACACTTTGCAACAACACAACCTTGTTTCTGCAGTGACTTTCAGCATGTTTGTTATAACAATGTCTGACATGTTTACGTTTTATGTGGCCTTAGAAAGTGACATAAACGAAGAAATGCAATTTAAATAGGATTTCAAACCACATATGAATGTAGCTTTTTTTCCCGTTCACATCTGCTTTATGATCAGAAACATATGATCAGATTCAATCGGATATGCTCCAAAATCTGATTTGGACTGACAGTCTGACGAGATTTAGGACTAGCCAACCTGGAGGGCTGCCTTCCTGCAAACTAGTGTTTTAACCCTGCTCCAATCTATTGATAATCTGGTTCAGGTGTGTTCGATTAGGGATGGAGCTAAACTCCTCCAGAGCCGGATTTGAGAAACCTGGAAAACTGTGGCCCTCCATGAGTTTGAGTTCGGCACCCCTGATCAAGAGCGTTCTTTGTAGATTTCTGAGAATTTGTGGCCAAAACCTCTGTAGCCTATTCTAGGGATCAGGTTTGGCCACAAATCCTCTAGAACACTATATGAAGATTCATTTAGTTTACCTTTTGAGCTAATCTAGTATTCAGTACGGATCTCGAGTCCTTTAGGATTCTATAAAAGAATCCTTTAACTCTTCTCTACACCGATTTCCTTTTTGAGCTAATCTAGGGTTTGTTTTCATCCACAAATTCTAGAATACTCTGCAAATGAAACTTCTGAACATCTAGAGGATTATTTGTAGTATTTTATTTTTCTACTCTCAAAAAGAAAACCACTTTTGTCTAATCTTGGGTTCCGTAAGGTTTCTCTACAGTTCACTTTTTTTTTTTAGAAAATCTAGAGTCCAGTTTTGCTTGCAAATCCTCTAGAATGCTACATAGGATTATCTTGATCTTTGTTGAAGAATGGCAATGCCATTTCCTGATCAGTATAAAAATGCCAACTTCAGCCAATACCTGCTGTTATACCTCTTTCTATGAATTTCTATAAATTTTCTTCTTGTGCATGAATTGTTTATTGTTATTGTTAGTGTGTAGCTAAACAAATATCAAGTTTATCCACTTAGTGATGTAGTTTGATCTATTAAAACGAAAATTACCTCAAATTGCTAGTAATTCTCTCCGAACTGAAACAACCGAATGTTCCTGGTGATACCAGTTATTTTAAAGCCGTGACTTGCTATACCTCTCGAATGTAATTAGGAATTGTGATATAGTTTAGGCTTCAGAAACTGACCGCTATAATAAAGCTATCTGGTTGTTTACTTGAATACACAAACTTGCTACCTCAGATTAAACCAAACCCTCTGATTAGCCTGTATGAGATTAAGACTACATGTTGGATAAGAAAACCTACATGCTGTCTTCCATAATACAGTCACTCTGTCTAGTTGAATTAATGAGCTTAAACTGACATCTGATCCAGAACAGGGAAAAACACACTGCCTGTTTTAATGTACACTTTTCAGGGGGTCAGGTAATACTTCACTGTAGGGTTGCTATCTGAGCTTGTGAAGTCATATTGCTTGAGCAATTAGGGTGTTTTGATGTACAGTTCCAAAGAAATATTGAATGTTGAAATGCTGAAGAAATACTGTAAAACTATATAACCAAATCTATATTCTTGCTAAATATTTAAGTCTAATTTATGCTTCTTTCAATTCAGGTTTATATTATAAATCTTTTTCTTTTCATTTTTTTTCAGGGGTTTTCCTTTGGGATTTATTATTATTATTATTTTCCAATGCTTCAACCAATGGCTTAATGTATACAGCATGTTGTCCATATTTTCTTGTGGCATGTGCATTGTTCTTATGATTTAAAGAATGTTAGGTTTAGCAGATTGCATTCTTGCATTTAGTGTTGAAATGAGACCAAAAGCTTAAAATCAAAACCTACTGTAAATATCTTTGGGTATCTTAATGTAAATGACATGTTGTTGTTATCAGTTGATACATTACTGAAACTTTTACTTGTTCAGATATGAAATGATTTTCTTGCGGTTTAACATCTTTAAACCATGTTTCTTTTCAACTACCTCTGGTTGGGTTTCATCATGCTGGAGGGCTTTTTAAACCATACCCAATTCTGAGGTTGTTTTGTAGTTCGTTGCCTGTTCTGGTAATATCAACAAGGGTACTTTAAATAATAGATCAACTTGTCAAATTATTTAATTTGCTGAATTGCCATTGCAGGCACTCTGTTCAGTTGTGCTTGCTTTTTTCTCTCTCTCTTTGCTTTATATGATTATTTGACATTGTCTTTAAATCAATATAATTCTAGAATATTCAGGAACTTTTTATTACATAATGGGGCTTGAAACTGAACTTCAAAACTGTGACAACACTTTCATTTGCATCCTCTGCAAACCTCAGGGAACATTTTAGGGACACATCCCAATGAACTTTTTGAACCGTAACGCACCATAACCAATGTTTTTTGCAGCTATTTTGATTTAGACACATTTCTATATTCACTATAACTGACACAATATGCCTTCAGAAGGTTTGGCAGCTCTTTCCATTAGCAGGTTTGTGTGTATGTGTATGGTTTTGATGTGGTTTTCTTTTGAAATGTCAAGTACTTTGTTCAAAAATAATGATACTAAAGTATTTGCAACTTGTTTATGAAAACCAAAGCACATTTTCACTCTTTGAAGAATTTAAAGTCCTGTTATAAGTAACATTGTTCTCAGTTATGACATGAAATAAAATTAAATGCTGATCAAATAACTTCACTTTTGCTTTTTATTGATGTGGGTTTTTACAAAAAATTAAGCTTCTACAATATAATAATATATGTATTGTATACCATTGTATGCAAAATTATAGCATCTTTGAAAACTATTTGCCACCAATAATTGACTATAAGGTTTAGCTATGTTGGGTAATAATTGATGGCTATTGGGAATAACATATCAATAAACATTTATCAATAAAAACAAATATTTTCAATGCCAAGAAAGTAAATATCTCTAAATAACATATGTAAAAGTAAAATCTAAATAAAAAAAATATATATTTTAATCCGATATCTATGACTAAAAAGATTTTACTGATAACTTGCATTTCATGATTTCACACTTACATATAATTAAATAGAGTAAAGGTATTTGGCGTGCTGTTTTTTTGCCCCGTACTCCCCCATCCCAGGCTGGGATAGAAATAGAAGTGAGGAGATGGGGTGGTGGTGGGATGCTGGAAAACTGTCTTAGAACAGAGGTAAGTCTGCTGTATATATATATATATATATATATATATATATATATATACACTCACTGGCCACTTTATTAGGTACACCTGTCCAACTGCTCGTTAACACTTAATTTCTAAGCAGCCAATCACATGGCGGCAACTCAGTGCATTTAGGCATGTAGACATGGTCAAGACAATCTCCTGCAGTTCAAACCGAGCATCAGTATGGGGAAGAAAGTTGATTTGAGTGACTTTGAACGTGGCATGATTGTTGGTGCCAGAAGGGCTGGTCTGAGTATTTCAGAAACTGCTAATCTACTGGGATTTTCACGCACAACCATCTCTAGGGTTTACAGAGAATGGTCCGAAAAAGAAAAAACATCCAGTGAGCGGCAGTTCTGTGGGCGGAAATGCCTTGTTGATGCCAGAGGTCAGAGGAGAATGGCCAGACTGGTTCGAGCTGATAGAAGGGCAACAGTGACTGAAATAACCACTCGTTACAACCGAGGTATGCAGCAAAGCATTTGTGAAGCAACAACACGCACAACCTTGAGGCGGATGGGCTACAACAGCAGAAGACTCCACCGGGTACCACTCATCTCCACTACAAATAGGAAAAAGAGGCTACAATTTGCAAGAGCTCACCAAAATTGAACAGTTGAAGACTGGAAAAATGTTGCCTGGTTTGATGAGTCTCGATTTCTGTTGAGACATTCAGATGTTAGAGTCAGAATTTGGCGTAAACAGAATGAGAACATGGAACCATCATGCCTTGTTACCACTGTGCAGGCTGGTGGTGGTGGTGTAATGGTGTGGGGGATGTTTTCCTGGCACACTTTAGGCCCCTTAGTGCCAATTGGGCATCGTTTAAATGCCACGGCCTACCTGAGCATTGTTTCTGACCATGTCCATCCCTTTATGGCCACCATGTACCCATCCTCTGATGGCTACTTCCACCATGTCACAAAGCTCTAATCATTTCAAATTGGTTTCTTGAACATGACAATGAGTTCACTGTACTAAAATGGCCTCCACAGTCACCAGATCTCAACCCAATAGAACATCTTTGGGATGTGGTGGAACGGGAGATTCGCATCATGGATGTGCAGCCGACAAATCTGCGGCAACTGTGTGATGCCATCATGTCAATATGGA